CCCTGCCCCAAGAAACAAGCAAATTGAATTCCGATCTACTTTCTCTGCATGAATTGAGCTGGAAAATTGAGGCATTATCCTCAATGTGTACTGTCCATCAGGGCTGACAAATTTAAACAACTATGTATGTGCCAGGAGGGTGGAGTCAGGTTTATGCCTTAGGGAACCCCTACCCACCCCGTCTAAGGAGACATTGACTCCCTCTAGCAGACAGTAGACCTCCGAGGGGGCGAAACCCAAGCAAGGCCTCCCAGTTTTTAAAAGTAAGTTGGCTGTTCAGATTTTCAGTGTGAAAATTCTCCATTTGTAGTGCTTTCAACTAGCTCAAAAATGTTAAAAAGCACTCTGCTGGCCAAACCAAGCATCTCTTCTATGAATCGTCAGCCTGTAGTCCCCTCTGTGGATCGTATTAACATTATTGACAATCAGGAGTGTTTAGATACAATATGTTTCAAGCATCTGTGTGTGCATGTGTGTGACTGCCTCAGGGGAAAGGTTGCAGTTTGAATAAGGATGAATAGAGGGAGCAGGTCAATTAGAAACAACAGATATTGCTCTTATACCCTAAGCCCTTCAGAATTTATATTCAACCCTGCTCTATTTCTGCTTGGCCAAAACTCTCTGAGAAGCCCAGCATGTACATTTTATTTGGAATGCAGTGTTGGATGTGAGCTGATATCTGGCCCCTGTGTAGTGTGGATCAGTAAACACCTGATTTCACTGGTGGTTTTCCCCTTGAGTGACCTCTCACTTGTGACATCAATCTCCAAAGCTCCTTGCAAGAACCACACCCTCCCAGAATCTTAGCTTAGGAGCTCCGCCTGGAGATTGTCAAAGGCTATGTTCCTCCTTAAGGCAGAATTCTCTTTCCATGGGCAGTCATACAATTCTTTTATCAGTACTTGATTAGTTAAGTTACAGAGCTGGAAGGTAAGTGAGGCATCAAGGGGGAAAGTTTTAAGGAGACTAGAATATTATTTGGTCATAAAAAGGAATGAAGTGACCAGGCACAGTGGCTCATGCCAGTAATCCTGGCACTTTAGGAGGACCACAGGTAGATCACCTGAGGTCAGGAATTTGAGACCAGCCTGGCCAACATGGAACCCCATCTCTACTAAAAATTAAAAAAAAAAATGAGCCAGGCATGCTGGCAGGTGCCTGTAATCCTAGCTACTCAGGAGGCTGAGGCAGGAAATCAATTGAACCTGGGAAGTGGAGGTTGCAGCGAGCCAAGATCTTTCCACAGCACTCCAGCCTGGGTGACAGAGCTAGACTCTGTCTCAATTTAAAAAAAAAAAAGGCCAGGCGCAGTGGCTCACGCCTGTAATCCCAGCACTTTGGGAGGCGACAGGTGGATCGCCTGAGGTCAGAAGTTCAAGACCAGCCTGGCAACATAGTGAAACCCATCTCTACAGAAATACAAAACAAATTAGTTGAGTGTGTTGGTGAGTGCCTGTAATCCCAGCTACTCTGGAGGCTGAGGCAGGAAAATCGCTTGAACCTGGGAGGCCGAGGTTACAGTGAACCAAGATTACACCATTGCCCTCCAGCCTGGGCAATAAGAGCAAAACTCTGTCTCAAAAAAAAACACACACAACTTCTGGTAGTAGGGAAACCACGTTACGGAGCAGTGCCAATAGACTGTGGTGGCAGTTCAGCAGCCCCTGCTTACAGAGCTCATCTACCCTGCTACGTTAACTGTACGACTAGCACAATTCCTGAGTCTTGGTTTCCTCAACCGTGTGTTTTTGTGTTAACTTTAGTTTAGGGATACATGTGAAGTTGTTTGGTTGTTTTGTTTTTAGATGGAGTCTTGCTCTGTTGCCCAGGCTGGAGTGCACTGGTGCCACTGCAACCACTGCCTTCTGGGTTCAAGTGATTCTTCTGCCTCAGCCTCCCTAGTAGCTGGGAATACAGACGCATAGTACCACGCCCGACTAATTTTTGTATTTTTAGTAGAGAAGGGGTTTCACCATGTTATCCAGGATGGTCTCAATCTCCTGACCTTGTGATCCACTTGCCTTGGCCTCCCAAAGTGCTGGGATTACAGGTGTGAGCCACCACGCCTGGCCACCAACATCTACTGTTTTTAAATTTTTTGATTATGGCCATTCTTGCAGGAGTAAGGTGGTATTGCCTCGTGGTTGTGATTTGCACTTCCCTGATCATTAGTGATGTTGAGCATTTTTTCATATGTTCATTGTCCATTTGTATATCTTCTTTTGAGAATTGTCTATTCATGCTCTTAGCCCACTTTTTGATGGGATTGTTTTTTTTTCTTACTGATCTGAGTTTGTTGTAGATTCTGGATATTAGTCCTTTGTCAGATGTATAGATTGTGAGGATTTTCTCCCATTCTGTGGGTTGTCTGTTTACTCTGCTGACTGTTCTTTTTGCCATGCTCTTTAATTAGGTCCCAGCTATTTATATTTATCTTTGTTTTTATTGCATTTGCTCTTGGGTTCTTGGTCAAGAAATCCTTGCCAATGTCTAGAAGGGTTTTTCCATTGGAGGTTTTCCCTCCATTACGGCCTTAATCATCATCATCATCCTCCCCCTCCTCCTCCCCCCTTTTCTTCTTTCTTCTTCTTTTAATGGAGTCTCACTCTGTCACCAGGCTGGAGTGCTGTGTCCCAATCTCGGGTCACTGCAACCTCGACCTCCTGGGTTCAAGCATTCTCCTGCTTCAGCTTCCTGAGTAGCTGGGATTACAGACACGTGCCACCACACCCAGCTAATTTTTGTATTTTTAGTGGAGACAGGGTTTCACTGTGTTGACCAGGCTGGTCTCAAATACCCGACCTCAGGTGATCTGCCTACCTCAACCTCCCTCCCAAAGTGCTGGGATTACAGGTGTGAGCCACCTCACCCAGCCCCTTAATCCATGTTGAGTTGCTTTTTGTATAAGGTGAGAGATGAGGATCCAGTTTCATTCTCTTACGTGTGGCTAGCCAGTTATCCCAGCACCATTTGTTGAACTGGGTGTCCTTTCCCCACTTTATGTTTTATTTGCTTTGTTGAAGATCAGTTGACTCTAAGTATTTGGGTTTATTTCTGAGTTGTCTTTTCTGTTCCACTGGTCATTATGCCTATTTTTATACCAGCCCCATGCTGTATATTTTGGTGACTATGGCTTTATCGTATAGTTTGAAATCAGGTAGTGTGATGGCTCCAGATTTGTTCTTATCCCCTTAGTATTAAATACTAGAATTTTGAATTATCAAAAAGCCTTTAATACTCAACTTTATTTCTGGGTTTTGAGAGATACTTATTTACTAAAAATAAACCATTTTATCACTCCACATAATTTTAGTTAACTGATTAATTCTATCAAATATTAAATAACTAATCCCAACCCTACACCAGCTCTTTCAGAAAATGGAGCATCGGACATTTCCCAGCTAATTCTATGAGGCCAATATTACCCTGATAAAGACATCAAAAGAAAACTACAGACTAATGTCCCTTACGAGCTCAGATGCACAAATCCTTAACAAAATATTAGCAAATAGGATTCGTCAATACAAAAAAGGATTATGCTCTGTGACCAAGTGGAATTTATTCCACATAATTTTGGAGATAACCCTCCCCTCCCATAATACAATGTTAACAAATTGAATTCTAGATATCACTTATGGCTTTGTCTAGATAGTGAAAGCTTTAACATAAAGTCATTGTATTGATGGGAAACTATTATTGTATATTAGTGTAATGAGACGCAGAAATACCTACAAGAGGCTGGATACGGTGGCTCACGCCTGTAATCCCAGCATTTCAGGAGGCCAAAGTGAGTGGATTACCTGAGGTCAGAAGTTCAAGACCGGCCTGGCCAACATAGTGAAACCCCATTTACTAAAAATACAAAAAATAAGCTGGTCATGGTGGTGGGCATCTGTAATCCCAGCTACTTGGGAGGCTGAGGCAGGAGAACTGCTTGAACCTGGGAGGCAGAGGTTGCAGTGATCTAAGAGTGCTCCACTGCATGCCAACCTTGGCAACAAGAGCAAGACTCCATCTCAAAAAAACAAAGAAAGAAAGAAATAAATAAAAGAAAAGAAATATGTAGAGAACGAGAATGTTGAAAAAGCCAGAGAATGCTGAAAGGAGTCTCACTTGGTGTGGGAGTGGAACTGCCCTACGGGTTCTTCTTGCTTGCTGCATAGATAATGCCAATTTACTGAGACAGTATTACTGAAATAGAGAAAGAGTTTAATAAATGCAGAGTCAGCTAACAGGAGCTGGAGTTTTATTACTAAAATCAATCTCCCTGAAAGTTCAGAGCCTAGGCTTTTTAAAGGATACTTTGGTGGGCAGGAGCCAGGGAGTGGGGAATGCTGATTGGTCAGGTGGTGAATGAAATCAGAGGGTGTCAAAGTGGATTTTTCTTGCTGTCTTCTGTTTCTGAGTGGGATCACTGAACTAGCTGAGCCAGTTTACTGGTCAGGGTGGTGACAGCTGGTCCATCAGAATACAGGGACTGACTGAAACATATCTCTAACACCAATCTTAGGTTTTACAATACGTTATTCCTAGAAGCAACTGGGGAGGTTAGGAATCTTGAGGCCTCTGGCTACATGAAGCCTGAGCATGATTTGGAATCTTGTGGCTACTTTGTTAGTTTTACAAAGGTGGGCTGGTTGCCAAGCAAGGAGGGGGTATGTTTTGGGAAGGTGCTGTTCTCATCTTTGTTTCAGAGTTAAACCAGAAACTCAATTGCTTCCATAGTTAGCTCAGCCTACACCCAGAACTGAACAAGGACACCTTAGAGGTTAAAAGCAAGATGGAGTCAGTTAAGTCAGATTTCTTTCACTGTCTTCATTTTCCTATATCAGATTTTTCTCCGTCATAATTTTTGTAAAGCCAGTTTCAGAAGAATCAGGGACTCAGGCTGACTAACAGGAGTATGATTTTGTGTTGGGGAAGAGGGCAATTATAACAGAATGTTCCAGAGGGGGAGGGAATGGAATGTGTAAAATGAACTTCTCTGTCTCTTCTAATAGAAGGAGGCTGGCAAGAAACAAGGAGGACCAGAGGGAAAGAGCAAGGACAACCTACAGAAGCCTCTCCTTTGAGACCGTGTATGAAACAGTGAATAAAGCCCTCGCCCACCTGTGTACTTCACTCCAGCAGATGCTTAGCAAGGTCAGTTTCTCTTCCCTTTAGGGAGAATAATTTAAAAATAATCATACCATCTAGTAATTATGTTTTACTTCTATTTTATCTTTAAAAGATCAGAATTAGGTTTCCTTTCAGTACTTCGCAAATAAGCAGCACATCGGGTCAGCTCCCAAGAATTTGTCAAGGGTCATGAACATTTCATGGGCGGGACTAATTGTGGTTACTTTCATTCTCTCTCTGATAAGTTTCATTTCCTTCCCTGAAACTTCACGAACTTCCTGTGGGGTATAGCTAATGAGAGCATATGAGATGGGCTGAGACCTTTATCATCTTCAGACATTTGTGTTAAAGTGAATATTGTGATGAATCTTTCATGGTCAGCCTTATATGATAGCTCACAGAAGACAGTTGGAGGCTGCAGAGAAGTGGAAGAGGATGAAAGATGATTTTTGCCTTTGTGCAGTTAGTATTCTAGTGAGAATACAAAACATAATGCCCATAACGTGACTACAAATCAGTAACTAGCATGCCTTGAGCAACCACTATGGGACACACATTGTGCTTAAACACACACACTTTAATTCTCACAAAATCCTGGGAGGAGATATAACTCCCTCCCACCCCACCCCTTTTATGAGAAAACTGAGGCTTAGAGAAATTGACTCCCCAAAGGTCACCACCTAGCTAGAAAGTGGTAGAGCCAGGTTTTGAACTCAGGCAAAGAGATGTCCCAGGACAAAAGCAGCTTCAGTGAAGAGTTGTAGCAAGTTTTAAGGACTGAGAAATTTATATTTAATTTTTCTGCGGCCTTGGGCAAGTTATTTCATTTATAGGAGCCCTGTTTTACCTTATCTGTGAAATGGCTCTTTCTTTATTGGGTTGTTCTGAGAGTGAATGAGCCAGTGCATGAAGCCCTGCAGCACATTCCGAGTGTATAATAAAGGCTCAGTGAGGTCAGCAAGGGAATGAATGAACTCACATTACTGGGAACCCTCAGGGGGGACTCAGGATCTGCTTTGACTTACTTCTGTTTTCCTTAAACAAAACTCCTGAAATCGACAGTGAGACCTTGTCTCTTAACACCACCACCAACAAAAAATCCAAAGGGAATCATGGCCTCAATAAACCCAGCAGAGCGAGACAGTTAACTCCTACGCTCTTTCCTTTAATTCTGTCCAACCTCCCTGGGGTTTCTGGTTCTTTGGCAAGTGAGAGGCGTGCCCCTCAGCACTGGGTGAGCACACCGGGCTTGAATTTTAAGAAACGAGAAAACAGCTGAGCGCCATGGCTCACACCAGTAATCCCAGCACTTTGGGAGGCCCAGGCAGGCGAATCACTTGAGGTCAGAAGTTCGAGACTAGCCTGGGCAACATGCTGAAACCCCCGCCTGCAGGAAATAATTTAAAAAATAAGTCGGGTGTGGAGGCGTGTGCCTGTACTCTGGAGGCTGAGGAAGTAGAATCGTTTGAGCTCAGGAGGTCCAGGCTGCGATGAGCGGCGATAGCGCCACTGCACTCCAGCCTGGGCGACAGAGTGAGACTCTGTCTTAAAAAAAAAAAAAAAAAAGTAAAAGCTCACAGGAAGAGACCTTTTCCCTTAGATAAGGCAGGCACACGCTAAGTCCCCTCCCCATCGGGACCTTGGGGACAAACAGGACGGTGCGCATTTCCCTCCCCCGTCCCCATTCGGTCACCTCCACGTGCTGTACACCGGCGGGAAAGGCAGGGGGTGGGGAAGAGGAGGAAAGACTCAGCCGCAGGTGTGTCCTTAACCAGCCTGCCTTGCAGCCCCTGCCCGGGGCGGAGGCGGCGCCCGGGGCGGGCGGAGCGTGACCGCGGGTCGGCGGGCGGGTTTAAGAGCGCAGCGTGCGCGCCCGGCCCGCGCCAGCTCCCGGCCGCGGCACAGCAGTCAAGGCGCCTGCCGTGCTGCCCGCCGTGCCGCCCCACCGCCGTCGCCGTCGCCGCAGCCCGGAGCCGCCGCGCCATGCCCCACATAGACGCGGACCTCAAGCTCGACTTCAAGGATGTCCTGCTCCGACCTAAGCGGAGCAGCCTCAAGAGCCGCGCCGAGGTGGGGGCCGTTCGGAAGTCGCGGTGGGGCTGGGATTTTTTTTTTTTTTTTTTTTTTTTCCGGGTGGCGAAGGGCAGGTGGGTGGAAGCGGGTGGCCTGGGGTTACCCGGCCTGCTTTGGTGTTTGAGGCTGGGGCGCTGCGCCCCCGTTCCGCCGTCCCCCACCTGCCAGGACCTGAGGTGTCTTTAAGGGCGGTGATGCGGCCCGGTTGGGTGGCCTAAGGGGAGTTCACAGTCAAAGTAGACCGCACAGGGGCAGGGATCCAGTGTCCGACTGGCGTAGAAGGAATGGAGGTATGAGGGCGCTTAGAGCAAGACCAGGAAACTGGAGCGGGGGGAAGAGAGGACGGGAAAAGCAACTGCAGATGCCGGTGCTTTCTGGCAGCGTCTCCTAGCGCTGAGAACTGCTGCTGTTTTCGCGTTGGATTCAGCGGTGGAACTTCGCGAAAGCGTCTGAAAAAAACACAAGAACCCAGGGCACGAGTTCAGGGTTTAACTTTCGGAGTTTGGCGGCCTTGCTGGCAGTGGGGCTTCGGGACTCTGCGGTCCCAGCCTAGCCCTGGAGAAGCGGAGAGCTGTGGGGTGGGACAGGTGGGGGCGAACGGGAAGCCTCGGGCGTTTCCCTGGTTCTGCCTCGAGGTACTCAAAGCCTCAGGAACAGGTGGAGACCGGACTGGAAATAGCCCGGGGCTGGGGGAAGGGAGGTCAGCCCGGGAAGGATAAATTAGTTGCCCTAAAAGGTGGAGTGCCCCGGGGTGGTGCGCGCTGGTGACTGGCTTTGCTGAGAGCAGGAGAGGAAGGTGAGGAAACTGAGGAAACTGGACACGGCTGAAGGAGTAAACACGAGGAGGCTGGGCCAGCCGGCGCAGCTCCGGCGGCGCAGCTCCGGCCACCCAGCTCCACAAACAAGACCGTAAATAAATTGCCTCAGCGGAGAAGTCCGCTCCCCACTCCGGTGCCAGGCCTAACTGCAGTTCGTGGGGCTGCCAGCTGAGGGCTTGCATGGACTGGGGAAGCCTCTGCGTTAGCCAATGGCTAAACCGAGTCGCCTTCTCTAACCAGCTGCATTGGCTGGCTGGCACCTGACTGGAGGAGGTGGGGGAGGAATGATGAACGCTTATTGCCCCAGATTAGGTGGCCCTGTGCCTGTCCCTCATGACCTTTCAGGTGCTAAAGAAGGGGCCTCTCTTGGAACAAAAACAGTTTGGGGGCAGGCGTGGACCTGTGGAAGCATGAGCTGTAGAAAGACCAAGATGAAATATGGGGATTCTGGATAAGCTAATAATTTGGTGGCCTCAATATTCTTTATTAAAAATGTATTTAGAAGAGAGAAACTTATTTTTCAGCAAATTGGATGTTCAAAACACAGGTGTATGTGTTTTCTGAACCAGCAAACATGTTGAGAAGATAAAATATTGAAGATTAATGTAATAGGGCCAGGCACAGTGGATCACACCTGTAACCCCAGCACTTTAGGAGGTTCAGGTGAAAGAATTGCTTGAGCCCAGGAGTTCGAGACCAGCCTGGGCAACATAGCAAGACCCTGGCTCTACAAAAATTTTAAAAATTAGCCAGGGCAGTTGTGCACACCTGTAGTCCCAGCTACTTGGGAGGCTGAGGCAGGAGGATCACTTGAGCCCGGGAGTTGGCGATTACAACAAAAATTAAAAAAAATAAAGACAGTGGTGGACACCTGTAGTCCCAATTACTTTGAAGGCTGAGGTGGGAGGATGGCTTGAGCCCAGGAGCTGGAGGTTTACGATAAGCTATGATGGTGCCACTTTCCTTCAGCCTGTACAACCCTGTTTCTAAAACTAAAATTTATGTAATAGAATGAATTACTCCTTCTCAGGGAATAGTGTATCATTCAACAATGTCATGCAACACTTGGCTTCACAATTTGGGCAGATTGTAACCACCAATGTTCCAGTTCGGGATGGCACCTTTGCAGTCTTCGTGTACACTTTGCAGTGGGAACTCAGTGCCCTTGAGAAGTCTTTTTTCAGGTTTGTGGGAGTTTGCCAGCCACGGGCCTGGAGACTCATGTGAAACAGCATTGCCTTTCCAACCGGTTGCGGTAATGGTTTAGCTCCCTGGTGCGTGAGGCTGCTGCCTGGCCGGCCACCCGGTGATCTGACTTTACGTGCCTCAGTGGCGCTGAGGGTTCTAATTAGGCCTCCCTAATTCCCTCTCCATGTTTTCTCAGTTTGCTTATTGATGCCTGAAATTTTTCTTAGGCAGGTAAAAACTTTTCCTTGTACAATCAGAAACTTAAAATGAGTGCATCCTGGCAGAAGTAGCTTCTGGAGGCAAATTGGAAACTGAACGGTAGGTGATCCACATTGAGCCTAACAGAGCGGATTTGTGTGGAGCCAGGAAAGAGAACATACACCCTGGGAGTAGAGTCTGGCTGGGAGAGGAGGGTTTTGACAGTTGATGACAGACTTATCCTTGTGACAGTTTTGCTAAGAGCCAGGCCTGGTGATGGATCATCAGGCTGTAAGCAGGAAACTGAGAGTAAGAGTTATCTCCCGGAGAAGCTTCACTATGCCTGCAAGGACATTTCCACCAGCCTCCCATAAATGAACATGAAAGAGATGAATTTGAGGTCACCTCCGAGAGGCAAAGGATACAGGTAGCGGTAGCCCAGGTGGCCATAGCTTGGATTCTCCAGGGAGGCATTCATCTCTCAAATGTCCAGTCCCTGGCACAGAAGAATAAAGCACCACAGGGTCATGCAGGGACATTTGGATAGTCTTTTTTCTGAGAAGTGACAGGTTTGTGGATAGAGGCAAGACCTTGGTTTTCATCTGATAGGCTGGGGAGCCTGCACTCTCCCTGTTTTCTTCCTTGGAACCCATTTCTGGCTCTTAACATTCTACGCTAGTCCTTAAGCTAGAAAGAATTTACTTATTTATTTTGAGACAGAGTCTGTCAACCAAGCTGGGGTGCAGT